CTTGGGCCGCCCCCCCCCCTAGGGGGGCCTATATAAAGAGGGGGAGGGAGGGCAGCCGCACCCCATGCTCTTGGCGCCTCCCTCTCCCCATTGCTACACCTCTCCCTCTTGCAGAAGCTCGGCGAAGCCCTGCCGAGATCGCTGCCGCATCCACCACCACATCGTTGTGCTGCTGGATCTCCATCAACCTCTCCTTCCCCTTGCAGGATCAAGAAGGAGGAGACGTCTTCCTCAACCGTAGTGTGTTGAACGCGGAGGTGTTGTCCGTTCAGCACTAGGATCATCGGTGATTTGGATCAGGACGAGTACGACTCCCTCAACCCCGTTCTCTTGAATGCTTCCGCTCGCGATCTACAAGGGTATGTAGATGCACTCCTTTCTCTTGTTGCTAGATGAACTCATAGATTAATCTTGGTGAAAGCGTAGAAATTTTTTTATTTTCTGCAACGTTCCCCAACAGAGCCGTCCCAGGAGCTGGAAATCGGAGCCATGAGGACGGAGAAGCGACGGGGAAGGCGCAGCGGCGGAGAGCGCGCGATTCGGCTACAGCTAGGCTACGGCGTGCCAAGAAGATTGGCGGAGCGGTGGCGCGGTGGAGAGCAGCTGCGGCGACGAAGAGGGAGAAGAAGAAGAGAATGGCGGAGCGAGGGCGAGCGTGCGAGCGACTGCCGCTCCCCCTCCTCCCCCTACTTATAGCCTCGCGTGGCGAAGCCGAGGAGGCGAGGGATGGGGGCGTGGGATTAACTGCGCCTACTCCCCCACGTCCCGCGATTATTGCACCTTAACGGCGAGCGGAAACCGCTGTCGGAAGACGTGCGGCCAGTTCGGGCCACAAAAGATCCGCGCTCGGGCTAAGGCATGGAAGTGGCGGGCCCCGGTCTGCAGCGGCGTCCCGTCACGCGCGTGGGCTGGCAGGCCCTTCCAGCCGAAGGGTGCCATGCGGCGCACAGGCGGCGGGTAGCCAGCCCGCAGCCTAGCTTGCGCACCAGGTGGTTCCTGCCTCCAGACTTCAAAAAAACTTCGCCGAGACGGCACGCTTGAGTACAGTCGGCTCCTAGATGCCGGCTCTTCAGGATAGGAAGTTGATTAAGCTTTTCGTTCCCCTTTCAGCCACGAAGCCCAACCAGCTTCCGGGACTACTGTCAGAGTAAATGACCACGGGTAGCCTAGTCGGCTCCCCCTAGCTCTTCAAAAAAATAATAGGCCGATCAAGCCTTCAAGCACCCAAGACACGGGGCCGCCTTCTCCCGGCCAGCTACCCCACAGGCCGACTACCGGAAGGCGGCCTGGCCCTAGAATCCTCATAAAGAAAGCCGCGGGAGGGCCGACTCCAAGAAGCCGGCCACGACATGACCGACTCCAAGAAGTCGGCCCCCGACAGGCGGCCAAGACCGTGCCCTCGAAGTCTGCACCCACATAACGGAGATGGGACGGGGCGTGGCAACAGTGAAGCCTGCCACCCCCGAATCCCGGAGTACGCATGGCTACAATACGCTGTATGGGGCAGCCATGACCCGTCCGGCGTGGCACTGTTGCCATGTTGACCATGACATCACCCACGACAGGCTTTTAGTACGGCCCGCAGGCGGCGGGCCCCTTCGGTCAGAGAGACATCCAAAGGCGGCCACGCTTCCCCTAGTCGGCCTGGGACGTAGCCGGCTCTCACCAGCCGTCTCGCTCCCCCCTCAAAGTATGCGCGCCATTAAGGAGACAAGACGAGGTAAGGCTACAGTGAGAGCCCGCCAGGCGGCGGCACTGTAGCCATGCTTACCTCGACAAAGCCCTCGTCATCAAGAGTGAGGCAACAGTAACCAGCCGCCGACAAGACCAAGCGGTGGAGCCTACCTGTCGACCAGGAGGCCGGCAGCCGGCGGGACCCACCAGTTGGCGGGCCCCAGCAGTCGTCGGAGAAGCCGGCGAGCGTAGACATTGACGGCTGGGCCCGTGCCCAGCCGGATTACCATTGTACCCCTGGGGGTAGGCCTATATAAACCCTCAGGGCACCCATGCAAAGGGTTGGACTTTGGTAGTTTTAGACACAACTTTGAGAGGAGAAGAGAGCTAGCCTTGCCCTTTCTTCCTCCTCTCGCCAAACAGCTCAAGGAGCCTCTTGTAGCCACTTGTTGATCTAGTGATCATGTGGAGACCCCGCAGAGCAGGACTAGGGGTGTTATCTCCACGGAGATCCCCGAACCTGGGTAAGATTCGCCGGCGTGCATGTCTTCGCCTTATCCCGTTTTCAGGCACCGGCGATGTCTTATTGGCTCCCACATTGATAAGCCACCCGTTGGCATATGTCGCACCTACCACCCGACATCCACCATGTATTAAAGAAAGTTCATTGTATATAAATAAAATATTCATTGTATATTAAATAATTGACCAGTTTGTATTTTTTTTAAATCACCATATTTTGAAATCAGGACCACTTTGTTGAATTCCTGAACATTGTTTTTGGATTGATAAACATTTTCTTGAATCCCTGAACAATTATGAATTTGTGAACTTTCTTCAAATTCATGAACTTTTTAGAATCCAAAAACAGTTTTGAGTTCACAAACATTTTTATAAAAATTTGACTTTGGTTTTTGGTGCACTGGAAAAAAGGGAAGACATCAGAAAACAAATTAGAAATCGTACAAGTAGCGTCGAGCGAGACGGAAAGCGATCTGGGCCGGCCCACATCACGCCTGGGAGCGATTGCTACGATTGGGGTTACCATTGCGAAATCACTAATTGAGGAGTACTCGTTGCAAAGATCACTCCAATTTCCCTGGTTGCGACAAGTGGCGCACATGCAGCACGCCACTTGTCGCAACCTGAGAGTCTTCCCTTTTTTCGTAGATCCCTTTATCCAAAACGTTTTATCTCTCAAACCATGCGTCCAAATCTCGAAACGCTTTCACCGTTGGATTCCTCGCGTCAAGATCTTCAAAACTAGATCCCATGCCACTCACAAAATCACAGCCGTGCCTCTCGCAGAATCAAAACCGTGACTCTTGCGGAAAAGAAAAGAAAAGAGAAAACGCGTTTTTTTTTCGTTTCCGAGGAGGCACGGCCGTGACTTTTGTGAAAGCACCACCGTGCCTCTTGCGGAAGCAAAACTGTGACTCTCGCGAAAGGAAAAAGAAATAGAAAACATGTTTTTCCCCTTTCCGAGAGGCACGACCGTGACTCGCGAGAAAAAAAAACAGAAAACATGTTTTTTCCCGTTTCTGAGAGGCATGGCCGTGACTCTCGCGGAAGCAAAACCGTAACTGTCGTGAAAGAAAAAAAACAGAAAACACGTTTTTTCGTTTTTGAGAGGCATGGCCATGACTCTCGCGAAATCAAAACCGTGCCTCTCGCGGAAGCAAAATCGTGACTCTTGCGAAAGGAAAAAAAACCGTGTTTTCGCGTATTGAAAAGCTAAGGAAGACTGGTGAAAAACCAAAATGTAAAAAAACCGCTTAAAAAGCTAAAAACACATGGAAAAAAAATCCGTAGGAAGCGCCCAAAGCGCGACACGTGGCGAATGGCTGATAGCGCGCCAAATGACGCTGATCGTTGCGAGGTTCCCGAAGGAGCGCTCGTTAACTAGTTGCTCTCTCACCATTGGCAATACATAACCCTAAAAGAACGACCCTAAAAAAATAGAACCACTGGCGATACGTATCATCCCTCAGCCCACCAGAATTCAAGTCATGATGCTTGCATTTATTCCTGCATTATTTCAGGATTTCCAGCGATGCGCATTCAGTGAGAGGAGACGTTCCTGTCGCGACGACGAGGTGTCTACGCTGACTTTGTAAATTTCAAGATGATATGCCGGCCCAGTCTTCAAGAGGTGCTCAGGGTAGTGTGTGCGTATATGCATTCATAGGGATGAGTGTATGCGTGTGTATATGAGCACTTGTGTCTGTACTGTGTTAAAAAAAAATCCCCCATCCTGTACTTGGCCTGCAAACCTGCGACGATCCTAGTCCGGCTTGAAATTAACTCCGCGTGATCCTCGTCCGTCTCCAAACGCCCATACATAAGTCCAAGCCACGTACGTGTATCTCGTATCTTTCCTGGCTAGATCACATCTCTCAACCTCCGTTTTTTCCAAAAAAAAAAAAAGATCACGGCATCTCGTTCTGGCGGCGCCGTGCCATCTGCAGCTCCAAGAAGCCGCCATGGCCGCGCCACCATGCAAGGCACAACAAACTCTATGTCATCGCGTGTGCGCCATACTTCCCGATGAGATCATGGAGGAAATCTTTGTGAGGCTGCCACCGAAAACAGTGGGCCGGTGCCGCTGCCTCTCGCGCACCTGGGCCGCGGCGCTCTCCCATGACGCCTTCGTCGACCGCCATCGCCGTCTCGCCAGCGGCCGCGGCGGTCTCAAGCTTTTCTTCCTCCACGACGCGAAGGCGGGCAACATGGAGGTACGATCATGGTCACTTGCTGACCGCTCCCTCGCCGCATCACCCGTAGCCGTCTTCCCGGATGGCATGCGCACCAGATGCAGCTCGCGGTGTCACGGGCTCGTCATCATGGAGAACACCGCGACGGGGATCCACTACGTCTGCAACCCGTCCACGGGCGAGATGGCCGCGCTTCCCAGGGTGCGGCCGCATAACAGGAAGACAGATGAGAGCCTGGGGATCGGCTACGACGCGCGCAGCAAGAATCACAAGGTGGTACGTATCTCCTACTCCAACCACAGGGGCTTTGACGGCACCGATTTCCGCACGCTTTGTGAGGTCTACGAAATCAACTCCAGGGGCGCCTGGCGACCACCGGCGAGCAGCTCTGCACTGGGCATGGTGAAATTGGACAATATGTGCGTCTTTGCGCAAGGCCACCTATATTGGAAGTGGCTCGGGCGACAGAACCCGAGGATAACCTCTTTCTCGCTCTCCGATGAGGCTTTCAAGGCCTTGCCGCCGCCGCCGTCCTGCCATGGTATAGACCAGCTTTACGGGCTGGCGGAGCTCGGGGGACGCTTGTGCCTCTTCGGCACCGCTACCGAACCTGTACAACAACATAGCATATGGTTGTTGCGCGACCACGAGGCCGGTGTGTGGGATCTACACTGCCGCATAGACCTGAATGCGGCGTGGCCGCTGGAGGTCACGCAGTTCTCGATAGGCCGGAGCAGCCCCAGCCCACTCGCCTTCATCGACGATGACCGCCGCATCCTGTTCAGGGTGTACTGCAAGTTGTCAAAAGAGGAAAGATCCAAGAGCGCTTACAAACTGTATGCGTACAACCCTGCGACCGGCAATGCCGAGAGCCTTGGCTTTCTCCCCCACAGGAGCACGCCACCCGAGTTGTATGAGGAAAGTGTCGTCTCCACAGGTAGGCCATTCGAAGACATTGTGTCCTCATCCCCGTCTCAAGAGGCGTAGTACGACCCATCAGAGTCTTCTATCACATGCACGAACCATATTTTCTCTGTTAATTATAGAGCCTGAAACACATATGGTTCGTCGTTAGGATTATACCCTCTGCGTTTTTATTTACTCTATATATTAGGTTTGTCCTAAGCCAGACTTTGCAAAGTTTGATCAAATTTATAGGAAACAAATATATTTGCGATAGCAAACATATGTGATGTGAAAATGTATTCAATGATGATGAAATCATAGATAGATGTTAATAAATTTCGTATAAACGGGAACAAAGTACACAATGTTTTAATTAAGACAAAGTTAAAAACAACATCATGAGTTGGGAGTAATCTCCTGTTATAACAAACTGAGAGAGAAAAAGGGAGTTAACAACTCCCACGTAAGTGCCTGATCCGAGGCACCGAACCAACAACTTGGTTTCGGTCTTGCTTCTAAGCATCAGAAAAATATAAAGAGGATTCGGGGTTGTCAGAACGATATAACAGCACACGGCTTACACCTCTAATCGTAAGTTCGTAACTACCAATCCTAAAGTGGCGCTAATGACATCCGAAGAACGTCTTGACCGCCGTGAAGGCAGTGTCGACGGCACATCCTGCAGCACCACTATGTTGCCCTACTCCTACCTCCTTTGGAGGAACTTTGCACTGCCCGAAGGCTCGGTGTCATGCAGCCATGGGCAACCCCTAATGGAATCACCATGACTATGGCTAGTACATAATCTTTGCAGATGTATTTTTGGTGTTCTAATGTCAAGGTTAAGATCATGTTTAACCTTAATCCTAAGGAGTTAAATCCAACATGATGCACTGCATGTTGTATCTCCCCTTTCATCCTAGACCAGGTTTAGTTTTTTTATATCTTATTGTTAATGTTGATGCACATATATGATTTTGCTTTGTTACCAGGCAACGTCTACTAATGCTCATGTAAGAGCTGTAAAATTCATGTTGACGTGTTGGAGTAGTAGTAATAGGAACTCATTTAGCATATCTTTTTTTTCGATAAAGGAAATATATTAATATCGCGAAGATATCAATTACACCCGGCCTCTGCACCAATAAGATGTCCAAAGACAACAAGGATGCACACAGCCAAGAAAAAAATAAAAAAGAGAGAAATAGAAACAAAGACCCATCGCGATGATGAATCATTCGCAACAGCAATACTCTAACCACCTCCACCACCGAACACACCCGGACCGCACAAGAGATTCTCCAAAAACGACGCCTCCAAGATGGAAACAAAGCACAAGCTTTGTCGCCGCCCGATTAAAGATCTTGAGTTTTCAACCTGAAAAAAGTTTGAATTCACAAAACAATACCTTCAACAAGGCCATTTCCAGGCACAACCAGTAAAGGCCAGACCTTGGGTTTTCACCCTGAAATTTGTGACTCGGTACTCAAGAAGCACCACCAAAAATGCAGTCCACCTATGCTGTCACCCCCTCTTTCCAAGGTTGTTGCTGCAAGTGATCAACATCCGACACACAAGAAAAACCTGTGCCGTCATTCTTCATTGCCACCAAAACACCTCTCCACCATGACAAACCTCCGATCGCAGTCACCATGACCTTCTCCACCCCTGTCAATACCATGGAAATCTACTAGACATGTCCCATGGTGTCGTCAAGCAAGTGAAGCTTCACGTCACTCCCTCATGAAGCCTCACTGGTCGAATATAAGGGAACACACGGCCGGATCAATTCCAATCTGAATATCCAATGACACCATGTGCCAAACGGTGGAATCACCGAGAGAAAGACTGGAACTCGTCGGTATCTCAGATCGAGGAGGCATGTATGAAGCAGATCGACGACGTGGTGCTTGAAAAACAGTAGGACCAAACCATCTTTATTCAAGCTGAGCCCGCAGCCCCCACGTCGTCGGCCGGTAGCAGAGGAGAAGACGAATGCCGCTGGCCCGCTGGACTTCCGGCATAGATGGGGCGCACGGCAAACCCGATCCGGGAAGCATCATTCGTTAGGTCCAGATCGAACCCAAACAGGCATGCCCGTGGCGTCCTAAGCGCCGCTACCACCTGGAGTAGCAGAGCCCAATGCGACACCTCAGTTCGATGCGCGCGTAGCCATCAGCCCAGATCAGGCCCAGATCCGCCGTCGCACGCCATGGCTCTAGAACATGCCGCCGAAGGACGGCCACGTCCAATTCGCCATCGCGAGCGCCGCCGCATCTCGTCTTCTAACTCCATCGGCCACCTCCGCGTGCGTCCGTCACCGTGCATCTCTGCACAAGTGCACCGCAACTGCATGCCTCCTCTGCCCTCTGCCTTTGGCCAGACGGGCGCCGCCGCCACCACCGGCGCCGGTAGCGACGGCAGCGGCCAGGGGAGATGACCTTTGGGGGGACTAGGCTAAGGTTACGGAGGGCCTCCGGAGTCACCGTGCGGGGCGACCTGGGAGGGAGTATTTCCTGAATCGTTATTGTGTCTTACCTCATTTAGCATATCTGGAGAAGCATGGGCAACGATCTACGCCGGCGCACCGGCCCAACTGTTGGACCGGTCGCACAGCAGCCGTTGGATCCGATCGCCTGGGCCGCTGGATCCCGCTGAAGAAAATGATTCCCCCTTACCTTCTTCTTCCTTGCGCGAGGGAAAAAAAGAAATATGCAGGTCAGCCTCCTCGTGCGCGCCCTTGGCCGCCCCGTCGCAGCTCGCTGGGCCTGCTCAACCGCCCCGTCACACCTCGCCGGGCCTGCTCGACATCGCAGCTCACGGGAGTCGGTCGATGTCACAGATCGCCGAGGCCGCCGCAGCTCGCCGGATGCACCTCCGCCTTGCATCTCGACGTGTGTCACACCGCCTGATTGCAGCAGCACCGGATGAGGGTTCCAGCATCACCACCGGCCTGCTGTCGTAGCTCGCCATGCGCCCATCGCAGCACCGCCAGGCAGCACCGTCGTCGCCGGACGCCATTGTTATCTAGCTGTTTTCAGTTTGAAGCTTTTTTAGAAGCGGGTTGTAGCTATTCTCGACGCCGGTTGCAACATTTTTTTAGCTGTGCGGTGGCCGACCTCCAGCTACCCCGTATCCAGTTGAAGCTTTTTTCAAAATCGAATGTAGCTTTTTTGGTTGCCGGACGTAGCATTTTTTAGTATGGTTGCAGCTATGACGCACGTCCATCGAAGCCTATTCTTTCTCTAGTTCCAGCAAAAAATGCCATCGGTCGTAGCATTTTGGGTTGACGGTTGTAGCTCCAATGTGCACCGGTTGTAACACCTGCTTCTCTCTTGTCCCTGCAAGAAAGAATGACGCATGCAGCAATTTTCGTCGTTGCTTGTAGCTTCGTCGAGTGCCGTTAACAGCTTTTCCGTAGATGGTTGAAGCATCCCCGTGCAGCACGTCGGCGCCTGCAGGTGGTTGAAGCTTTTTGTTTCACCCGTTGTAGCTTTTCCCACAATGGTTGTAGCTTCTCAGGCGTCGGTTGCAGCTTTCATGGGTACCTGCCCCAGCTTTGTGTATCTCGGCTCAAGCTTTTCTTCTCACCGGTGGTAGCTTTCTCAGGTACGGGTTGCAACATCTGTTTGTTGTTGTCTCCAGCTCCGGCTGGTGCTGGTTGCAGCACCGATGTTGGGTGGCGCCGTTGTAGCTTCCAGGTCTGTAGGAAGGAGAGAAAAAGCACCATGAAAAGACCTCCAAAATTCTCTAGGGATCCATGGCGGTTTGCTGTGGGGAGTGGAGAAACGGAGCCATGGCCGTGGTCGGCTAGCCGGAATGGAGCCAGGAGTGTGTGGGTTCTGGCACGCTCGCCAACGGGGATCGGAGAAACATGAGAGTGGATGCGGCACGGGCTGAGTTTTGTTGTGGACAAGGCAAAGGAGCGAGGAAGAAACGAGTGGATGAGTGCTTCGTTTGGTGTGTGGCCCCATGTGCAGAATTGCGAGTCGAGGCGAGCGAGGGGCATGACCGGCCGAAGCTTCGGCCGGTCCGCCAATTATAAATGTTTCCCGAGAAGCATTACTCAGATGGGCCATTGTTGACAACCTGGTCCCACTATATTTTGGACAAAAGAAAGGAAGACCAGCAGTAGCAAGTTAAGAACTTAAAAAGTTACATGTGGATAACTGACTACATCCTAACATGATTGGTAAGCAGAAACTCCTTTGCTGTGTCGAGCTATTGAGCAAACAGATCTTATGTGAACAATAACCAGCAAAATGCAACATAAATATAATTAAATAGCACTATATCGTGCCTCGTTCATGTGATCCCCGTGTCTACAATTATCAAACATCACCGCATCAACTCATCGGTAACATAGGGCTCGAGAACCTCTAGAGTGTTAAAATGGTTGTATAGATATAAGAAAGGTGTTTAAATTTCGTAATCTCTTTCTATCTCTTCTTTTGTCTATCTCATCCACCAACCTTCTGTAAACCATCTATCTATCAACATTTTCTTGTAAGCCACGACAGTATTTCTATAAATATAATTATGGCCGAGCAAAGGGTTTTACACTTCCCACAATTCTTACACGGGGTTGCATAGCTACATACTATAGATGAAACTTATCAAGGGCCCCTACACTTGCATGGTGGTGTTCACTTTTGCCCTTAAACTTGAGAACCGCAAATTTATGATGGAACTTATTCATATAAACTTGTCTCGTAAGAATATATGCCAACCTTGTATGACCTAGTACAAATTTTGAGAAGATAGAGAAATTTGATGAAATAGAATTTTCAGCGATTTTGGGGCATCTCCAACGCCATGCATCAAACGGACGCCCCCAAGTGTCCGCGGACACATCCGGCACGGACATTTTGTCTGGTGCCGGGCATTCAACGCAATATCTCAAAATGCCCCTCAGTTCGAACAGTTAAAACATGAAATTCGAATGAAATTTAACCAAGTTCAATATATTACGTGCAAACTAACGGCACTTAACAAGTTCAGGAGGAATTAAGCTAAACTAAACCAATGTGAAAAGAGGAAATAAGAGGGGCCTTGTTAAAATTTGCCAAATAACAGACAGCAAACTTGATAGGCATGGCCTCCGAGGCACCTTGGCCCACCACCGCTGTCTAGGCCTAGACCCGGCCACGTAGAATGCGGCTCATTCTGGGCCACTTTCTTTCTTTCTTTCTTTCCTCATTTTAGTGTGTTGTGAACCAACTCCGCCAATCACATGTATGTGCCCAGACAATTTGAGACGTGCGGTTGCACGTGCGGACAATTGAGATTTTGGTGGCCATGTTGGCGCCCACCGCTTTTCCGTGGGCATGTTCGCGCGCACTGCTCGGACACGTCTGCTATGAGGGGTCAAATTAGCCCAATCTGATTAAAGATGCTCTTAGTTGATCTTGTTCACAGGTTCGTGCGGTCGGAATCACTGGGGGTGTAGTAGACTAGCGGATCGTCGACGCTCAAGTTCCGGGCTTTTGGGCTTTCCATACAGCATGCATGAGCATGGATGATTCAAGATGCTCTGCACACGCAAACATCTGCGATTCTCAAAGAAAAAAAACCCGCAAAATTCTGCTCTCAGTATTCTGTCTGAGCACGCAGATGCAATCCATGGCCACAGGCTGCTCGGCGGGCAGTCACAGTGGCTGCAGAAAGCCGGAATCTCGTCGTGCACTGGCGACGGCGCATGCAGCACAACACTTGGCAAGCCAGCCACTCCGCTGTCCGGAGCCGCGTGCGCTCGCTCAGTTGCTTGCTTGCTTGCTGCCACACACGATTTACCATGCATGCCACTCTTTCCCTCTCCATCTCTCCTTCAGTTCGGAATTCAGAACTACGGTTCACGTACAAAAAAGGTTGCAAAAGTAGATCGAGGACACGAAAGTATCTTTCCATCGACGCACATTGGTTAAGGGGAGAGGCAACAAATCAAGCGATCTTGTTGTGCTCGGCCGTGGAGCCAGCCAGGTCACCGCCGGGTGCCGGCCGTCACCTTTTGGCTGTTAGTCTGGGTTTGTTATGCATCCATCGTTTGGAGTTGATCGAGTTTGGACGCACGCCGCCCAATCCCGCACCGCAGGCACGCTGTACGTGCCACCGGCTAAACGACTCGGGGCACGGCTTTATAGGCCCCCTCTCCGCTCGCCTCACGATGCCAGCCAGCCAGGACGCGCCATGCATGGCATCGCGGCGCCTGCGGTGCGCTAGAAGTACAGCGCCCCGAGACGGCCAACGCCACCGGGCTGCTCTGGTTCGCATCACTGGCACTGGCACCGGCATGGCGCGCTCCCTGCTCGGTGATGCGCTCCTCTTCTCCGCCGGAGCCGCGCTGGGCGCCCTGCTGCTGCTCACCCTGGCCTCGCCCTTCGCTCCGCCCGCCGTCCTGCTGGGACGACGGTCGTCGTCCTCCGCTGCTGCTGGTGATCGGCGCACGTTCTACGACGACCCGGAGGTGACGTACACCGTGGACCGTCCCATCACCGGGTGGGACGAGAAGCGCGCCCAGTGGCTCCGCGCGCACCCGGAGCTGGCCGGCGCCGGCGAGGGGCGCGTCCTGATGGTGTCCGGCTCGCAGCCGACGCCGTGCCGCTCCCCCACGGGCGACCACGTGCTGACGCGGCTCCTCAAGAACAAGGCGGACTACTGCCGCCTCAACGGCGTGCAGCTGCTGTACAACACGGCGCTGCTCCGCCCGTCCATGGACCGGTACTGGGCAAAGATCCCGCTGATCCGGGCCGCCATGGTGGCGCACCCGGAGGCCGAGTGGGTCTGGTGGGTGGACTCGGACGCCGTGCTCACCGACATGGACTTCCGCCTCCCGCTGCGCCGGTACCGGGGCCACAACTTCGTCGTCAACGGCTGGCCGAGCCTCGTGTACGACGAGGCGAGCCCGTCGTGGACGGGCCTCAACGCCGGCGTGTTCCTCGTGCGCAACTGCCAGTGGTCGCTCGATTTCATGGACGCCTGGGCCGCCATGGGGCCCGACTCGCCGGACTACCGCCGGTGGGGCGCCGTGCTCACGTCCACGTTCAAGGACAAGGTGTTCAACGAGTCGGACGACCAGTCGGCGCTGGTGTACATGCTGCAGCACAAGGGCAGCCCGTGGCGGGACAAGGTGTTCCTGGAGAACGACTACTACTTCCAGGGCTACTGGGTGGAGATCGTGGGGCGGCTGGGCGACATCGCGGCGCGGTACGAGACCATGGAGCGGCGGGCGCCGGCGGCGCTGCTGCGGAGGCGGCACGCGGCGAGCTGGGACCACGCGGCGTACGCGGCGGCGAGGGAGGCGGCGCTGGCGGGCGCGGGGCTCGCGGAGAGCGGCGTGCGCGGGTGGAGGCGGCCGTTCGTGACGCACTTCACGGGGTGCCAGCCCTGCAGCGGCGACTGGAACCGGGACTACTCCGGGGACAGCTGCGACGACGGCATGCGGCGCGCGCTCAACTTCGCCGACGACCAGGTGCTGAGGGACTACGGGTTCCGGCACGCCGGCCCGCTCAGCGACGACGTGCGGCCGCTGCCGTTCGATTATCCCGCGGCGGCCGGGAGGCGCTGACAACCAAACAGGCGGGGCGGCGGCGAGTCGGTGGAGTTTTTGTCTTTGTGCTGCTGTGCGTGGCTGCTCGCTGTCGCTGGTGGGTTTAGCAGCGAAAGTCATGTACTTCAGCCGTGGGGTTCAGTACATTTGATGTCTGGCGTTATCCATTTTCTTGTACCAATAAAAAGTTACTCAGTAACTGTCAAAAAAAAGTTGCACAGCATACACCAGGCCGTTCGAGGGTTTATGCAGTGCTAGTACTAGCAAAGCAGTTTCCTTCCAGAAGAAAGAAAAGAACCAGGGATATTTGATTGTTTTAGACAGCAGATTCTCACAGAAAAAATATCAAAAACTGAAACAAACAACTATTTGAAATCAGCATTGCCAGTGAAGCTAAATCTAGTTCCGACCCATTTTCAATGCAATTGGCTGAAGCATGTCCAGACGTACTTCAGTGGCAACCGACAGGTGATTCAAAGCCAATTGAAACTGGAACAAACAGGTCAGAGAAAGGACTCAATGGAGAACTAGGAAAACAGGGATGTCTTCCAAGGGGGAATTTGCTTAGCGGTTCAAATGGCCCTATGCGCGCCCAGGCAAACTTTGATCACCTATCAGTCTCTGCAAGCAGCAAATATATCTGAAGGCACCCAAAAAAAGCAGGTGAAGGGTGAAAAATAAAACCAATGTAGTAAATAAAATAGGCTTTATGTTGGATTCCTAAGAACAAAGTGCTTAGCTAAGGATTGCTTTGATGTATAGGATTCTCGAAACACAGGAATAGAATAAACACATGATTTACAAAACTACAGGAATAACAATGTATGAAACATTCCAAAGGATCTAAATCCTCAATCCTGTTAGATTCTTTTGAATCAAAGGAGCCTTAAAACTGCTGAAACTACAAATTCAAATAAAATGGGTTTTATGTTGGATTGCTAATCGTTCTAGTTAAAACCGCTGAACCTACAAATTCATTCTGCCCTACCAGAGCTGCCGTCAACAGAAAACCCAAACTAGAAGTGAAAAACTGCACCCAGAAGAGATACGACTCACAGAATAGTAAACAGGCAAGCAGAAATGCAGAAACACACAGGCCACAACAACAATATTCATCATTCAGGCGAGCCAGACCATCGGGCACAACTTGGCAATTCAGAGTACATCACTTCAACAACTAGCTAAACCGGCAGCTAGACACAAGCTAGTTTCCAAAAGTCAAAGTTCAACCAGCCAGACCTAGAGCTGGCACACAGGTGCACAGCAAGGTTTACATACACACAACTTGATTTCGGCCCCCGAAAGAAAGAGCTCGATTTCAGTGAACAACCATACACCACAGAGACCCCTGTTACGGATCCTTCATTGCCCGATCAGCTGCATATATGGTTAAGATTAAGACCCATTCAGAAATTTAGATCATAAAGAAAGGCGAGCGATCAGGAAGAGGTGTGGTTCAAAGATTCGCCCCAGGATTACCTGTGTAGCTGAGGTTCACTTGGAGGCTTTTATATTAGCGAGGGCAGCAAGAGCCTCCACGATCTTGCCTTCATTGATCGACCTAGTAGCCTGTGCAAAGAAATTTGGATTTTGCAGGACTGAGTTCCTGGTAAAATATGAAATGGCATATATCCCAAATGTCAGCAAAAGACACCGACCTTGAGAGACGGTATCAGTGCATAAACCTCTTCGATGGTCTCAGGCCCAATGTTCGCTATCATGCATATCTGTTACAGGTACAACAAACCGTTTTATGTTTGAGATGAGGGAAATGAGATACAAGAAGGTGAGAGGAAAAGAAGGCTTACGAACCTCGCCATCATTAACACCATAGTCTTTAAGAGGTCTGCAGCTACGAGTCAAGGAAATAAACTACAAAGTGGTTGCTTGGCGAAACAATTTAACTGCATGACCACAATGCGATCTCTACTAGTTCTTAACCAAAACAAAGGATACTCCAGGATTTCTTTCACCAACTTCGCAGAGGTGAAGTGATTTCCTTCTTTTGCATACTGAAAGGCCTTGTCAAACGACCTGCCGGTGCAAGAAGAAAAGATTAAACATGGAGTCACACAAGCTAACAGACTGGAACGCCACATAAACAATTATTAGCAGAACATAACAGAATTAAAACAAGAGATATTCCTTACTCGGGAATTTTTATAGTCGGATCCTCTGATAAGATAGCCATATGTCCTTGATTTTTCTGCAACATTTCTGCTGCTTCACAGTTCGATAACAATATAGAATTTGGAGGCATATCTGCAACCAATTGTTATGCGGGAATCAGCTTGCCTATTTTACGTTTAGACAGAAGGGACATTTGAAAATCATAATATAAGATGTGTGCCCGTTTCAAATGATGTAAAACTAACAATCTCATTATACGGAACTTCTCAAGTAAAGAGCCTACTGAAATTCCATAAACTACCAAACTTTAACTACTATTAAGGTTACTATGAAATAAACTTCTAGAAAAATAGAGGATATTTCAATGGAAGGAACTGACCAAGCTGAAGCTTTAGTTCTGCATCAGACATTGCAGGCTTTGCATTTGATGCGGAGCCCTTCCCGCCTTTCCCAGCACTAAATGCCTTCCCTCCTTTGCTACCTTCTCCTATGAGAACATAATACATGAAAGACACAGAAAGACAATCTATTGTGTAACTAGAACTTTCAGTTTTATTGGCAACTCTCGAATGGATGAATGTATAGCAAAAGTACAAAACGATGCATCCATACCATTAGAAAAGGATGAAGCCTTTCCACCAGTTTTTAGGCTATCAGATGAAGCTTTCCCATTTGACTTGGAGTGTGTGGGAGGAGCCTCTTCTTCAAAAAAATCTAAATACAGGCAGTGATATATGAGGTTCTTGTATATTTTCAACTATATATCAATACAGTATTCACATTGACTTATTCGGTTTCATTCAACTATCCGGTAAATTTTAGTGCTTATTTATGTACTGTGATCAGATATCCTGCCCTATCAAATACTGCAATAGTTACAATGTAAGCAGCTCAATGATTACCATTTGTTATGCACAGCCATAAATTGGTGAAACAAAACAACAGTGTCTTGCCTTCAACTACAAACGATATGAAGTGTCCTTTCACACTCAATGTGATGGTAAATAACATCAACTATGAGCAAATAGTCAACGAATCATCTGCAAATAAAACCAAAGGGGAACCACAAACATGGTATATAATTCTCTTCCGACATTTTTTTCTGTAGTATTTGATCAATCCTATGAAGGCTGCCAAGATAAGTATTTGGGGAGCGTAGAAGGTTGTGGGACTTCTAGTTAAATGATTCTTTAATCTATACTGGAACAAAAAGTATCATTTCAAGTTTTCAAACAGAAAAGTTTACTACCTTCTTGCTAAAGATGCCCTAAGCCCTAGGGTAGCAGGGTACAACCGTACAAATGGAATTTTCTTGACAGTCATAAATAAAACACAATGATCATATCAGACAGATAGCTCGTAACGTGCTAGCAGACACAAGTGATACTCTTTAATTCTTATAACAAAAGCAAATACCAAAGGATTTTCTCATGGAGCAGAGCTGTGATAAGTGTAGTAAAACTAGATTTAAGTAGAACAGCAGTGAACACATGTGACTTGGCATGCCCAGACCAAGTAGCCAGACATAAAACATATCATAAGAAGGATAATGTGAGTTGAAAATAAAAAAGGATTTAGTCCAATAAATAAACTGTTGCCTGGAAAATGTTTAATGACGAGATTGGGCAATATTATTACCATCAGAATCAGAATCAGAATCAGAATCAGAAAGGTGAATAACATCATTAGAATTGTTCTGCCTTCCGTTCGGTGCTCCTGCAAGAATAAAACAGGTAAGAAATCTGTCAAACTCTAAACTTGCCTTCGAAAGCTCAACTTCTCAAAAAACACAGCATTCATTTTGATGCAGCTGTAAAATCATCAATCATCATATAGCAGGATCACACAACAGAACAACAAAAAAACATACCATAAAAGTCTTAGATTAAAAAACTTCCCTGTCAGACATAAATACCTTTATTCTGTTCAGGTTCGGCACCTGCGACGGTGCGGGGGTTGTCGCTCCGGTTTGGCATGGCAGAGGATATTACTGGGCGGGGCATGGAATGTCGAATATCCTGCGCGTTCTGAAGGTAGCGGCTGTGCGAGGGGGCGCTGGGGTTGGCCCTCAGGTTCAGGTTTGTGTTTGGGTTCAGTGTGTGGATGGAGTTGCCTGAGCTGGCCATGGGAGATTGGCGATCCTGCAGGCGGCCCAAGGCGGCTCTGAGGTTAACACTCAGGTTCCGGTCTCGCCTGTAGGAGTTGACTGAGCAGGGTATGAAGTATCGGGGATCCTGCGGGTAGTGAAGGTAGCTGCCAGGCAAGGCGGCGCTAGGGTTTGCATTTAGATCTGGAATGGGGAAGGAGATGGCTGGCCGGTGCATGGGGAAGGAGATGGCTGGGTGGGGCATAGGGGGATGAAAATCCTGCGTGTAGTGGAGGTAGGGGCCGCCGTGAAAGGGAGAGATGACCGAGGGGTGGTGGAGGTAGGGGCCGCCGTGAAAGGGAGAGATGACCGAGGGGTGGGAGTAAGGGCCGAACGGAGGCGGCGGGCCGGCGGCGGCAGGGAACATGGGCGCAGCGGTAGGAGGCGAACCGAAGAGAATACCCATGTCGAAGGGAGGATCAGGGTTGTTAGTGTTCGGATTAGGGTTAAGGTTTCTGGCTGGAGGCGCCATGGGAAGCGGCGGCGGAGTAGATCTGGAGAAGAGGGGAAGAGGAGGAAAGTTGGAGGTGGGATGAACCGGAAATGGAGGTCAATAACTCAATATATAGGCGGTGGTTGTCTTGTTGCTGTTGTGCCCCGCAATTTTACTTTATTTGCGCCGCGCAATTTCACTTCAATTGTGCCCCGCAATTTCACTTTATTTTGACTTAAGCCTCTCAGTTCCAAACAAGTCGCGGTAGGCTAGAGTTGAAACCCATAAGATCTCGAAACCAAGTCATGGTTCTGCCACGTGGATAGCAAACTTCCACGCACCCATGCCCATGGCTAGTTCTTTGGTGATAATGCTGCTAAATATTGCTATTTTAAATTAATTCCAAAAACACCCAGTACAATATGCAGACTTGATAGATGTACATCACTCCATTCCACGCATTTCAACAAGAGAACAAGGTTGTAGTGTGTGTTACTAAGATGCTGCGAAATAGATAACCTATTACTTCAAATAAGCAAGGGATAAATCATCATGTTCTCCAAAGTAGTATATTCTTGAGAGAGAATTTACGGCATGTCGTAAGCCGTTCTAACACAGGTACGAAAAAACGCTAACTATCACAGAACCACGAGCATACCACACATGTGATATTTCAGAATAGGCATATACCTCAGTTTCTAGTTTAGTTCTACATTTGATCCAAGGATTTTCCTTCACCAAAATAGTGAAGGTTGGATTAACTAAGGGGCTGCTTGGTTCCCAGCCACACTTTGCCACATATCAAGTTAGGCGAGTTTGACCAAGTTAGGTGGGTGTTTGGTTCTAGCCACACCTAAGGCAAGATTCTTTTTGTTCAAAATAAGTCCACATGTCATACACACAAAAAGTGTGGCAATCCAAAGTGAGGCTAAGAATTTGAGCACCTAGGCTAAATTTGAGCACCTAAGCTAAGGCAATTAGTTACCAACCAAACATGCCCTACGTTAACAGCAGACCTTCCTCTGCAGAGCAGGAAAAAAAAAGAGAATGCATCAAGATGCTCAAGCATGGAATTTAAATATACAGACCAAGCTTATGTGCTTAACTGCACCAAAATCAACAAAAAATCTTCCAAGGAACGCATGCAAGACATATCCACGGATATTCGCTCTCTTGTTGAAGGGAAGGACCATTCGTTAGACTAAAACCCTTAGGAATCGCTAAATTTAGCCATGCACTTGTGCATAAACACAAATGATCCATTTAGTGTTACCTTATTCACAGGCAAACAGACCCAAAACCTATTAGGCTGCTAGTGATTCCACAATGCCCAGCAACGTTTAATGCATCACCATTTTGAGCAAGCTGTGTCACAATCAACTCAATTATCTACTTTTCCATCTTTCCTTGAGACACCAAATTATAATAACCCACCCACACCACATATGAGTGTGACACAACCAGTAGGAAAGTTGTTAAGATTAATTTGGTAACAAATATTAGCCAGATGTATTTCTACAAGCGCACATAAACAGATAATCCAATCCAATTCTAGGATCCAAAGGGCATTGTCAGGAAAAAGTTTCTTAAGGACTGGAACCCTTCTCAAAAGTCCTACAGTCGAAAGAGGCCGTGAACAAACAGCTCTGTTTTGTCGTGGATATATCACACCCATAACAAAATCCGACCAAAACCACCTAATAAACAACCAAATCATAAGCCCTCGCACCCATCAAATTGGATCTAAACCATCTCCAATAGCCAAAATTCATGTCCTTTCGATGCCCACCCGCCAGGGCACCAGTACCGTGACAACAAAACCCTCGGCGCTCTGTAAACCCTAATCCCTGGCCATTCGCATCGTTTCCTACTCGATAGACGCGAAGATCCCGACACCCACCGGGTTTTATCCGGTGAATGTCGCGTTCGTCAAGGGTTGAGACGACATCGACGCAAAAAAAAATACGGGGAAAGGGGGGGATAAAACGGAAGGGGGCTGAACGGGGATCACCTGACTTGGACGGAGGGTAGGACCCTTTCCCTCCCCTGTTCGCCATTGCGGAGGAGAAGGCGGTGGTGATCAGGAGGCGCCTGCCGGAGTCGGCCGCGTCGCTCTCCGCACCGACGCCGCACGCGCCCCGCTGCTCACTGCTCGCTGTCGCTGGCGAGGAGACGGAGAGTGAGAGTGCGGCCTGCCTCTGCCCGGATGTATTGACGGATTTATAAAGTTGGGCTGGGGAGTTTTTCTTTTTTTTTTAGGCAAAGTTGGGCTGGGGAGTGAGAGAGAGAGGCTCCGCAGTCGGGCTCTGGGCTCGGGTGGACTATGGGCCCATGAGTCAATGTTCTGCAGTCGACGAGGGCCAATTTCAACAAAATACAATTGTCTGCCCTCAAAAAAAAATACAATTGTCTAAGAAAAAAATGCAACCATGCTCGGATACATGATGATGCAAGCGCCACCGACTGGTGCCCAACCGGAGGATCCGCAGTGCCTCGTTGAAGACCCATTCCCTCCTCCACTCCCTCTTATAAGCTCACATGTGCGGTAATTTTCAACAAATTGCTCCGTCAAAACCACACAAAAAAACACCATGACAAGAAGGAAAAAAAGATGTGTGCATACGGGCCATGGACTTGCCGGAAGCTGGGGGCGCGCCGAAGTCAGAGCAGGAGTGCGACTTGGGGATGCGTGATCGGTCGCCGGCTTAGGGGATCTCTCTTATTGAAGCAGTCTAGGGAGAAGAAGAGAGAGCATGAGAGTATCTACAATCACAGGTATCAAAAATATATATGCGGCTATGCGTGTCCGTGGACAGTGACTGATCAGCATGCAAAAATTCGATTTCACAACTTGATACCTCATTTTTAAATTATCAAATCCATACAATTACATGCCACGTAAAATTAATCTACATTTTCACCGGTAACCATCATTGTTGTTCCGACCGTGTCCATGTACAGCGGCCGACTTAACCCATCGAAGTGAAGGCATAGTTGCCGGCGAGGTAATGTAGGACATGTGACACGGACCGGCTCACGGGACTCGAGGCGCCTTCATCTCCCATGCCCTACTCTTCCTCGTCGGAGTCCACAACCTGTTCGTTGCAACTGGGCATGAGGGCGATGATGGATGTGGCGAGTGGTCGGGCCAGATGGCATGCGGCTCCGCCTTCGCTGCCTGGGCAGCGAGAGCTTCCGTAGCCATCCGCTCTTGGTGCCTTGCACCTCGCGTCTGCAGCGTGCTTGCCATACACCATGTCGACGTTGACCTCCGGCTCGGAGCCCACCCCCGTGGGGACGACGCGCCACCGAATGGGTTGCGCTGCCATCCCGGGGTTCAGCTGCCAGACGGCCTGCACTGCATTCGGCAAGGCAGGGGTACAACGCCTCCCACCATGAGCGTCGGGCAGATCCAGTCGCATTCACGCGGAAACAATGGGTTCCTAGCGATACGAGTCCGTCCGCGATCGGGCGAACTCCTCCCGGGAGCGATGGAGAGCCACACGGACCGCCATCTCCTTCTCGGGACTGTAAGGGACAAGGTCCCAGTCGACCATCCAGACATCCCAGAGTTAGATTCGCTGCATGCCACGCTAGAAACGAATGGATTTCGACGAAGGAGAGCTTGGGGGAGAGGGGAGTGAAGTGGAGTATGGCTAGGGTTTCTTCCAGACTGCGGATATGGTTGAATATATGTGGGTCGGGTGGGCCATTGTAGGCCGGATCCAACGTGGCAGGCGCGTCCTAGCACATCCGGGCGTCCCTATCTCCACCCCACATATGAATATGGCGGCTGTCGGTCAGCTCGGACGTTTTGATTGCGCTTTAAGGCGTCAGGTTGGGTAGCAATTCTATGCCCAAACAGTGACCGAGCAGGCCATCTCAGCGTCTAAGAGCATCTCCAGCCGCGCCCCCAACAGGCCCTCCCCAGGCGATTTTTTAGCGCCGGCGGGCGAAAATCGGTCCAGTCGCGCCCCCAGAAGTCCGTTTTTCGCCGGGTTGGACCGAAATAACAGCAGGCGCACCCGAGCCGAACCCGACGCGCCGGGGGCACCGGCACAAGCAAAAAGGGGCGTGGGGCCGCTCAGTCGGCGATAGGAGGGCCTTTTCCCGCCGTTTCTTTCCGCTCCCCCGACTTCCCTCTCATTCTCTCCATTCCTCCCGCCAATCTCCTCCTCCTCCCCTCCCAGCCGGCCGCCATGCACCGAAGAAGTACGTGGTCCCCCCGCGCCGCGACGGGTGCGACCGCCGCCGTCGCCCAGCCGAAGCAGAGGAAGCCGAGGACACCGTCGTCCAAGCCCCCGGGCATGTCCAAACGCCGACTGGAGGGCAGAAGTTCAGCGTCGGGAGGCTATCACCACCGACCGGTGGAACTGGGCCAACGCCAAGAAGGCGCAGGACAGCGTGGCGCGGCTCGCGGCTGCGACGGCGGCGATGGAGCAGGCGGAGCGCTCGGCCGAACAAGCCGAGGCGGCCCGCGTGGGGATGATGAATCCACCCGGCGGCCACGCCCCATACGCGCCCTGGAGCCAGCCAAGCGTCGGTTCTCCGACCGGCTTCTCGTCGTCGCCGCAACCTTGGGGCTGCACGCCGTCGGCGGGCTACGCCGACGGTGACGCGCACGACGGGTTCAACCCCAACATCACCTTCCCCCATGGTCACCCGGCCCAGCGGACGCCCTCGCCCGCCTTCGCCGGCGTGCAGTACCCTCCTACACCTACTCCCCGCCGGCCTACGCATCCTCCCCGATGCCCCCTCTCCGTCGTGGCGCGCTGCCCTTCTCCCAAGCCTCCACATCGCATCTCGGCGACCGAAGCCGACATGGACGACATCATCACGGCCAGCTCGGCCGCCGCCGCCTCGTCCCCCGGGTTTACCCAGGACGACACAATGGACCTCAACGGCGACATGGACGGCGAGCTCGACTACGACGAGGAGGAGCCGGAGCCGGAGGAGGAGGAGGAGGAGTCGACGCCTGCCTCGGCAAGGAAACGAAAGAAGAAGAAGGGGGCGGCCAGGACCGGCAAGCCGCGCATCAA